AAGTGTTTTCCATTAGAAAAGTCCTAAAGTTAAATCATAATGGAGTTATAATCTACCACTGTGATCAGGTTTTATAATCACATGCGTTGGAGAACCAGAGAAAACCAGCAGAGGGTGCTGAATAGCTGTTTCTGTCGTCCTACCTTTTTACTTATTAGTAACAGGATGAAGATGTCTCGAATTTTAAAGGGAGGTCGTGCCTACTGGGAGCAATGCAGCTGACAGAGATGATGGATTTACCGCCGAGGGTATTGGTTGGTTGTCGAGTTAAAACTACGAGTTGGTGGAAGTTAGAATTCATGGGTTGACCATTTAGTCATGTCGTAGTGGTTGACTGTTCCACGAGCTTGCCTTGTAGTCTGAAGTTACTGAGTTCAAACGCCTCCTATCGTAGAATTCTCATTTGCATAATTTTGAGTTTCTAAATTTCGCCTACAAAGGAAACCAGAAGCTTCTCTCCCATCAATAAAATTAAATCCACATCAACTATAACATCTTAATTATTTGAAAATCAAATAAACTGGTTATTTGAAGTGATCACTGTCCTACTATTTATTCACTTCGGACTCGAAAAATTCAACATAATCGAATCATAAAACTACCTCACAGCTACAATGTTTAATTATGATATTGTGCCCTACAGCGACATTTTACTTTAATGTATGAAAAACTCTCAAAAACGAGGTGCATTTTCCAAATATTTAACGAATCCCCCGAATTTGAAATGGGATAAAACTCAGATACGCAGTGGACTATGATCAATGAAAAGTGCTGTAATCACGGCATAGATGACCGTCATCAAAGTGAGTAGATGTGAGAGAATTAGATGAATATTTCATAACGTGTACATTTTTTTATCAAATGTCACTTCAATTAAGCGAATTACTGCCGTACTGCTCATTTTTATGGCAATCGCTTTTACTTTATGCGACGTAGTGAGTTTTCGGTAACAGACGTATTGTGATTATGCTTCACCCACTTCATACACTGTCCACGGACACTTTAGTTGAGAAGAAACTATGCCGCTAATTTCGTTAATTTGTATCAAGTTTAGTGGATAAAATCAGTGTTCAGTGTATAAGCATGCTGGCTGTTGTGTTTCTAAGATTCACTTCTATATGATATATCGTGGTTGAAAGGGATGTTCATATGCGAGACATGTCATCCGACAGCAATTCCTCTTACATTACCTTTATTGATATTCAAGAAGACTTCACATTTCATCTGACGCCACTTTCAAAGATTTCCAGTGTTATTCCAGTTAGACGACCACAGTGATGGCAGATGATGTTGCACATATCACTCTGCAATGATTTTGTCGATTGTAATTTCATCCTTGATGTCTTCAAGTTTCAGACTTGAACTGGGGTTTGTTTCCAGCTGCTTCTTTGACATCTTTCAAGTTGACACTTTGGGTTGAAGATTGTCTAGATAACCAAATTCGCTTATCTTTTCTATTTTGTGTTCAGTAGACCTCCTCTCAACTTTTCTTAGATCTAGAGGAAATCTAGACGAATATAGATATATATCCATCTGGCAAAATCCACATCGCGTTGTTGTATGTTTTTATCTCCATTGTCCTCTAGAGCGTTCTCTCAGAAAATCTGTTATTTGGCATTTGAAATGAATATAAGATGGAATTTCAAACTATTAATTTGATTTTCAGGATGCAGCTGGCTCTTATGTGTTGTCAGGTATTCGATTTATGGGTTCTCCTACGGTCAATTCAGATTCATCTGCGACTGAATATTTTACTTTCCTCCGGTCAATCTTTTAGTCTTCCAGTTGCATCGATTATCTCTTCTGACAATTTAAATTCTTTTGGCTTTCCCTCTCAACCTGATAGTCAGCAGGTGTAAACAGTCTTCGCTAATGCATGTAAAACGTCAAAGTAAGCCGGTAAATCTGAGAAAACGTCAGATTTCATGGGGGATCGTAAGTAGGGGATATAGTCTGATGGCATTACTGTCCTTGGGCATTAGTGCGAATTCAGCAGTATCAATGACACTTTCTAGGAATGCCATTATTTCGGCACTAAGATGAACTTACTCTGGATAATGTTCGTCTAGTTCGTGTAAGGCAGCCTAAATTTTGTCTGCATTTTTGAGAATATCTGTGCTAGCAATGATTAGATCCATATTGGTCATGGTTAATATCAGTCCATGCAAAAATTCACCCATAAATGTTTGAACAATTCATAAAGAATTCCATGGGTGAAATAGCATTCACACAGATGCCTACAACCTAGACTGGGTGTTAATGACAGTTCCATGTATGCTTACCAGAGCAAATGGTGTTTTGTGAAAGATGTGGACTAATTCTACTTTTTTAGATAGGTTGACGCCTCGAAAGTTATTAATAAAGTATTGAATATGAGGTAGTGGGAATGTGTCCGGCAGAGTTTGCATATAAAAAGCCTCGTAATCATCTGTTTGGAGATAGCAGGATAGGAAGGCATAAATATATATGATGCCTAATTCTTGGAAAGCAGATAAGTCTAGTGAAATGACTAAGGCAGTATCTTTTATGAACACGTAGTGATTTCAAAATCCACTTCTTTTGAGTAGTATCTGGTTGTGAATTAGTCATCCTTTAGTTACACAGTTCAATATAATACTGTTGACCTTCAAAGAATTCTATCTTTCCTTATTCGAGATGATGCCCTCAAATTCCCTTTTGCATCTTTTCTGGTTTTGATAAAAAGTATTCCAGCACAGCGTGTGACGTAGATGTCAATTGCTTCAAGAGCGAATGATGATAACTAGGGTAAGAAGTTGGAATATTTCCACCGGAAACATCCATGGACGTGCTACACAGTTGAAGGGTGCAGAACATTACTTGAAGCAAATAATCTTTTGGCATGACCTTAGTGGGTGAATTTGTTGCACAATCGGTTCCTCTTGGGTTAGTTCGTTCATTTTGTTTTTCGTTCGACTACTCATTAGTAATATGAAATGACTCTCAGTAAACCTCCTCTACGTACTATTAAAACACTTTCTCAACGGGATATTCAAAGGGTGAATTATAACATATATATATATATATTACGCACTGATAAGTGGTATCATCCACATGAAAGCATGGTCATAGTGGATCAGTAGCTGTGTGGATGGCGAATTCGGAAGTATGATGCGTAATATAGGTATCTCAGGCGGATAATCTCAGTGTAATTGTACACACCACACTGGCTCGTTTCGTAGAGAAGATTTTATTACATTTTCCAAAAACCATTTGCACTGAATTCCTCAGTTTGTAATGGGTTTTTGAAATCTTCTGGACAAACCATTCAAGCGACAGGCTAGATCTACACCCACTTATGAAGTCTGTGTTTTCGTAATTGACATTTTCATTTACTGAATATTTTCCTGAGGAATTCTTACAAATAAACCACCACCTGAGTTGGGTAATGCAGTGTGCATGCTTTCGAAATTCGACATGCAGTGGTTTGTTCGATTCGCTAGCCTGCATAATCTTTTGTTTCACATCTACCATTTGGTTTATAATAATTCATATGCATTTATTCATTCGACCATATCCTACAGCCTCATTCCCTCAGCAACTCCCTTCTTTCTTACCAGTTATTCGAATTCTCAGTAGAATTTATGACTAAAATACCTGATGTGTTGTTTCATTGCCCCGAAAATAACCTTCCCATATCGCTGGATTTACACCAACAACTAATCTAAGTAGGACCGAGGAGACCATTAAACTAGGAATTGAACCCGCACCGCGCACCCGTTTGTGATCAGTCTATCAATGAGCACATTATCATTTATCTATAGAATTGTATCTTTAGTTTTGAGGAGAAAGACTGACGAATCATGAAGTTTTCGGACATAAAAGGGTCATATTATACATTAATGTCTTATCTCAACATTCTACTTAGGGCAAAGTTATTTCATGAAAAAACATAACGCAGCATTCAATATTGTGTAAAAACGTACTAATAAAATTAAGTCAGTGCCACATATTAAGCTCTCTGATGATGAAACCTACGAATAAATGTTTCTCATGGCTTTTGAATGTATGTAATATTCTAAAAGTACAAAGTATCCCAGGGACGGATTGCTGATGTTCCCACATTACTTCTTCCGGTACCAAACCAAGTCAACCTGTACTTTGAGTAAGGTGAAGCTCATTTACAAAATCTAAAAGGTTGTTGATTATGCAGGGATGCATTTTAGCATATAAAGAAATATTTTCTCTTCTCCAGATAATGTTTTCAGTGTGAAAGTACCGTAATAATTTGAAAGCTCTTGAAAGAATTGCTCATACACTCACACTTACATATAAATCTGTATGAGATCTTACAAAATTCGAGGATTCTCTCATTCTGAGTTTAACAAGCAACCAAATGAAGTGTAATCTACCAGTTAATAATAATAACTTGCTTTATTCCAAAAACAGTAGTAATGATACAGCAAGGAATTCTCACCATTCAGTACAATATTGCATCTAATTTACTCAAAAACGACAAAAAAATAAAAATAGAAATAAACTTTGCATAATAATAATAACTAAACGTTTTAGTAGCTATGCGGCGATTACATTATTCAATAAGGGGAAAAATCTGCATAAAGTATAAAATTATAGTAATAACAGTAATAACAACTAAAATAAAAATAGCAATGTTATAATTAAACCTTAAAAAGGGTGACACCATTAAATTGCAGAAAGATGAACGATGAAAGGGTCGATTCACTTTGTTAAATACATAGTAACTTATATATTTCACGTCTAACAGAGTCTTTGTCACATAAAATACGGGCTAAATACGGTAATGTAGAATTTGTGCACTTAGTGGTTCGAGCATATAACTTTCTATATTGACTTCTCGTCCTACCTGATGAGATACAAGGGGATAGCTGTGAATAAAGAGGGTGCTGAGGGTCTGACAGTACGGCCTTTGGCCATTTTGTATAGGAATTTAAGTGTCTCTCGACTATAGTTTTGGCGATCTCACGTAGTGACAGACCAAAAGCCCTACTCACAGCATTTAGTACTCTTCGTAATATGATATAATCTTTTTTGAGAAGCCCGGGAAAGAATAATGGAGAGCAATAGAGTACAATAGGTAAAATACAGGAGTTTAAAAACTAGACAAGCCCTCGAGTGGAACCCGAAAGGGAGGCGGCGAGTTGGTCGTCCAAGGGTGACTTGGAGGAGGTCATGCGAGGAGGAGATGAAAGCATGTGGACATACCTGGAGCAGGGTGAAAAAGTTGTCAGAAAACCGAAGGCAATGGAGGTGCGCAGCTGAAGCCCTATGTTCCTCTAGGAACTAAAGGATACAATAATAATAATACTAATAAAGGTTGGTTGATACCTGATTGTCCTAACTTTTTAATATAGAAGGTAAGACGAAACATTTTCTTGGAGACTAATAAGAAGTGGGATGACCATGAAAGGTTGGAGGAAAGAAATTATCCAAGGTATTTCCGTGCCATCTATGCCACAGGCATCATGGGAACTAAGAATTTCATGTATGTCACATCGATGCTTGAAAGTAAAGTCAACTCTCTGATATTTGGAAGTATTTAATATAAGACCATTTGACTTAGACCACTTGCTGATGTCCAACAGAAAGCTATTAATTTTGGAACAGTCAGAATCGGAAGTGATAGGCAGTGAGTGATACAGTCAGATCATCTGAATATTTGACAAAGTTATTTTCGTTTGAATGAGGCGGGTCGTGTAGGAAGAAAGAAAAAAGGAAAGCAGAGAGGACGGTACATTGAGGAACACCGGATTTTGTAAGCGAGGTAGAAGAAGATTTACCATTATATACAGTATACTGCATTCTATCAAAAAAATAAGAATGCAACCAACTCTTAGCCCAGGATCCTGTTTGCGTCAACGAAAGCTTATTTAATAAAAGGTCCCTAGGTACAGAGTCAAATAACAGATGCGTAGTTTAGGAAAGCTCCACGAACATATTGAGCACCTTTGTCTAAACAAGAAACAACATTGTGATATAAGACAACCGCAGTATCAAAGGTACTTTTACCATGTTTGTATGCAAATTGTTTAGGATCATTAAAAGGTTTCAATGAAGATTCAAGACGAAGTAAAAGTAATTCTTCCATCAATTTTAAAAAAGGAGAAGTAATTGCAATAGGCATAAATTTAATATGACTACCAGAAGATTGCTTTGGTATGGGGATAAAATTACTCTTTTTCCATACAGAAAGTAGAACGCTACAGAAAAATGAAGCATTAAAAGTGTTAGTTAGAGGGTAACACAAAATACCAGCACAATTTCTGGGGACAATGGCAGGTACGCCATCAGGATTAAAGCTTTGGGAAGAATTAAGTGACCGTAGACATTCAAGCAAAATCAAGGGTATTAAAACCACAAAAATTGTTGTCTGTATGATTTGTATCACTCGGAAGGATATCGACAGAAGAGCGTATGAAAGGCTTATTGAGAGTGTCAATGAAAAGAGACGGGACAGAAGTACATCGCTGACCGCTAGTAATTATTCTGAAAAGTATCCACAAAAAAGAAAGAGTTAAACTTGACAAGAATCTTTGATAATATAAAACATTTAGTCTTTGCATTTTGAGTTTTATCAGAGTATTTACCTTTTTTACGTGTTTCTCATCATTTGTTTTGAACAACAGTTATTATCTCTACGTAGCCTTTTGAGATATGGAGAAGAGAGACGGTCAAATAGAATGAACAATATTTCTTTATGAAAACATATTTTGAAACAGACTTTAGGATAATCATATGTACTTGAATATAAACCAAACTGTCTCCCTAAATTTTGCGGTGAGTAGAATGTAGGCATGTGTGTGGTAGTTCGTAGCTGTCGTAGAGTTGTTATTTATACATTTGGTCGTTATTGATGTTTTCTGATAGCCAGTGTTTCAGATAAATGTGGACTATTAAACACAGAAATGCGTATAAATGCCATAATGGAAACTTAATCGGTAATTGTTTGGGAAGTGAAACATATTCGTGTTCACTTGATGTGTTAGGAATGGGGAAACTGCATGTCGATACTTCTCCTGTTCACATAAATGTATGATCCTGAGTCATTTCAGATGTTTCAGATTACTGTATGATTGTACATTTCAGCAGGTGTATTGTTTGCTTCGATTATTTTCGCCCATATTTCAGAACAATTTTCGTCTTCACTGCTAAATACGTGAAACTTTATTGTTTGGTTGCTGGCAGAATTTGAGTACGATCACCTACACGAGTTTAATGGCTGAAACAATCTTCAAATGTTTGAATTTCAATGAAGCTGAAATTACTTTTAAAGGCTACATAACCCGGGTAAGGAAATTGGTATTTCTTCTACAGGGCTTGACACTCAGATCTCAATCGATATCTCGTTTATGCTTTTCATCATGATCTCAGTGATGGTCCTAGTCGGCAGCATGTATGATTGAAATTCTTGTTCTTATTGAGTAAACTTGTAGACAGTTTCTGCAGAAACTTCTGCTCGGGAAAGCGTACTTATCAATCATATTCGCGTAAGTCACGTGTTGAATATTCATTATTTACTGGTAGTTGATGGGAACACACTTTGTCGATTTCAATTTCCAGCCTGGTCTTGTTTAGAGCACCGTTATTTCCTAATCTGAAATTGTCTGAATTTTGTTCAGATCTCATTTCAACCTACTTGCTGTTGATTTGTATTGTACTGCACTGTTCTTCTAGAAAATTCGTCAAAGCGTTAATGCTGCTCACATAATGACTGGAATAGTCGTAAGTGTGAATTAGTAATGTATATTATTGTCATAAATTGTTGTCAGAATGATTGAGATTTCCGTTAATGTTTATTTGTTCACAATCTTTACTGCACAACTTTTGTGAGTATATGAAACATGTTCAAAATCATGTCTCTGTAAAGCAGCTGACTGCTCCAATTGGCTTCCAGTTGTGTGAGTGTTATAGTTTATGAGAGTTACCAATGAGTTCTTCCATATTTCTGATAACGTTTACTTGTTAGTAGAATGGAGAGAGAGGCATATGAATAGATGGGATGACCACGCTTACAAGATTACACCATTCACTGAGGACACACACGTATTTAAAATAATAAACAGGTATATTATGCATCAAGAAGTCTATCAAACCTCCACAAACTTGAGATGTGTATTTGAAACAAGTAACTTCACTGAATTCCTGTCAGGGAACAATTGACGTCACACGAAGATCAATATATGCTTTATTGAAAGCAGATGTAACATGTCGGAGATATTTCATTTGTAATATATTCATGTAAGCACTGCATGAATTGAGATAATATGACGTTTGTTATTGAAGGTGACATGATATTTAAGAATTACAGCGAACAAGGACACTATCTGAGAACCTGAGCTACTAAACAGTTAAGTTAATACATTGCATGTGAGTTTTTCGTTCACATGATTTTCATCCATTTAAATATGACCTCCAATGTTGTTACTCAATTCGATGATACAAATAACCAATTATAATTGGAATCAAAGTGTCTACAGCCTTTCGATTCTCCAATTAAAAGAAACGGTTTAAACTGAGCATACTTGTGAATGGTAAAGTACCCTAATACATGAGACAAATTTTACTTGTACTGCTAAACCTTTTATAATTAATATTCATCGAAACCTCATGTACTTCTCTAAGGAGACAAATAATAAATGTCCTCATTGATTGATTTGTGCTTCAGATCAGATAGCACAATGTCACACGATTTACTGACAATCAAACTACTATTTGAATATATTGCATAAATGGAAAATATATCATGCAAACTCTTTAAAGTGAAGTTCGTCTCGACATATATAAATCATGCCATATACTCTAGTAAAACTTCTGTGCATCACACAACGCTGTCCAGAGTAGACTTATTATCGATGTAATTGTCAATTAGGATAACTACCGGAAATCACATTTTGTTGTTAGAAAATTCAGCGTGCAACATATCAGAATACTGCATAACTTAGATGTGAATTTTGAGTCATCTGATTGCAAATAATCTGTTGTCGCATTGACATACTTGAGTGCAAATCAATATTTTTGCGACGGGAATAAGACACGATATGCATAAGCGAATGTTCACTCACTCTTCATACAAAACAGAATGTTGCTTGATAACTTTTTCGAGTTGAGTGGACTATTACGCTACAAGCAGCTCATTCGTTCAAGAGACCAGGAATCAATATTAAACATTGTATGTATTAGAAATTCTGATTCTTGATGCATTGAAGTCGTCAATCGATGGAATCGTTTCTCATTAAAATTACAACAATTCAAGAAGACAGTACATTGAAGTACTTACTTCAAATGACATCCTTCAGAGAACTTTTGAATGAGTAGTAAACACCTGTCTTCAAAACAAAACAAAAGATACATGTCACAATAGATGGTAATGAAACGTTTTACCGCATGTCGTATTCACCGGACATTGTCCTTATTTTCTGAAAGACGGAATATTATTTGATTATTAGCATTCTGAGGTAACAACATGAACTCACATAGAATGGAAAAGCCAAAAGATGAAGAAAAAAAGGAATAATTTTTATAGATGCAATAAAAGCGGCAGGCAGAGTGAACGCCAACAACCCTTTGCCACTCAATCCTTCGAGAAAAACCCTAATAAATATGATTCAAGCAAAGATATGATAATAACTAGTACGTCCAGCTGATTCTAAATGCGAAAATAGGTTACGAAGAGGAGTAGGACCTGTAAATCAAGGTGTAGAAAAACAGATACAATTGAAAATGCTAAAATAACTGAGATAATAATTAAATTTTGAAATAATTATCCAGGGATTTTGAAGAATAACAATTAACTCCTTCAAATTTCAGAATAATTCTTGAAAAATTCTAGGAAAGTGAATGATGCAATAACCACACGAATGCTTCGGAAATTTCAGCACCTCAAACATGAGGTCTAATATTTCAGTCGAAATACAAAGAACGAATAAAACAGTGACTCTACAGCAATAAACAATGCAAGAGTCAAAAAGATAGTTACTTATTTATTATCTCTTCAGATATTTTGATATAGCAAATCGATGGGTAGTTATTTTTTATTTTGTTTTGTTATATTACAGCTAGATGCCACAGAGTATTTGGGTGCAAGTATGGAATTCTCAGCATGTCATGTCGATAACCCAAATTTATCGGGTCGACCATTGATATCAGGTTTGCTTCGGTCATGGATAGAACCCTGGACCATGTGCATGATCGAAGAGCGTCCTAACCAACGCGTCAACAACAAATTGGGTGGAATGGTCGTTGTTGTATTGTTTATACTTAACAGTATTATTTCTTATTTGGAATGAACACCAGCCTATTCATCTTAGTCGAGGAGCTTATTGGCTTGAACAGATTGAACAAATAGTAAATGACAATGTAATCTAAATGAATTACACTCATCATCTATTAGAGGAATAAGTAATTCAATGAATAAAAATTAATATTCATTCGATAACTAACATAATAATATACGCCAGATAGGGGTGTTCCATGAAAAACCGTGGAATACTTGGCCTGCAAAGCAAGATGAGATTTTGTTATCTGCTTTAATCCAATCTTACACAAAACTAAATAAGATGACCAAGCCCACTGTCACCAATATCATAAGTGTCATATTGATTAGGAACTAAAAATAAAATAGCTTATTCAACAAACCATGCAACTATTACCAAAATAAAGCTGGCGAAAATTGGCTTTTGTGTTTCCTGACTCTGAATCTTTGGACTGACCAAAGATGGTACAAAACCTACCATCATGGAATATACTGAAATCTGTGAATGAAGATATATATGACAACACGATGAAAAAGTTTTAGTAATCTGCGAGTATAGGTGATGAAATTAGGGCTTGTGAGGTTAAAGTTTTAATTTTTTAAACAGTACTATTCTAAAGGGAATTTGATCAAAGTCTCCGACATTATTTTTCTCAGAACTATGAATTGATGGTTTGATAAGATTCGTTATTTACGCTTGTTTTTGGATATTGACCGAGAGAAGTTTATCATAATGTGGAGGAATATACCTTAGTAGTCTGTAAAATCTGAATAAAACTTTGGAAACATTTTGGATACACGAAACTGTTCATGACAAATTAACACAACTAAATGCATTTTCTAAAAGAATGAGTTAGTTTGCATGTGGTGAAATATGATGTGTGAATCAGTAAGGCGTTAAACGGCAACGCTTTGCTACAAGATTAGAGATCTGAAATGTGAACACCTCTCACGTGGATATTAAGTAACTGAGGAGTGAGTTTCGATGACATCCTGCCATTTTAACTATTTACTTCATTCATACAACTAACTAAAAATCACTGAAACATAATTTTTGCTTTCTTCCTAACTAGAGTGTTGATCCTGTAAATGGACTAGTAAATGAACTCGATAAAACTACGAGGAGAGTTTTTGATGCTGCTAATTTCGTGTTTCTCAGTATCACCAAACGACTCCTTTCTTAATCTGGGAGAGACCAGCTGACATCCATCGACAATCGAAACTGAGTATATTCAGTAGGAGTGTGTTTGCGGAAATAAACGTTTTGGTGGGACGGAAAGGTGATTTTTTGCTCGAATGTTAGAGGATTTGCAAAGGTGGCTGAAAACAGTCGAATTCATCGTACCAAATAGAGCAGTAAGGAGACATGTTATATACATCGGACATGAAAGTGATACTGTCAAGTCACTATTGTCATCCTACAAACAATAGACAGGAAAACGGTGGCAATCGTTGAGGCTTGCTCAATTAGAATTTATTAACCAGGTCTCAGTGTAGGAAAGGCGGTGGTGTTTACGCCTAATCAACCACGGTGAAATGTTTTAATTATAAACCATAATTATTACTATTAATACAACATTTTATTCAGCCTCTTATTATCATTCCTGATTCATTTAAAAATATCTTTATCAGTAGCATTATCTTGACTCCTGTTAACATCGTCATTATTATTAATACCAATAACATCATTATCGATATTATTCAGTTTCTTGATGTACTCAAGCTCCTTCTGATGACTTATTGTTCATTCGTATTATGGAGCTGAGTTGTGAGTGATTGTCAACCTAATTCCGATCTTTCAAACTCACTTGCACTTGTGTATATGAACTTGACCTGGAAAACACTCACACGTATATTTTCGCAGGATTGGGTCAATGTAGTTTACTAACCTATCAGCCTTGCAGCTCCCAATGTAAATCTAATGGTGCAAATATCTCGGTGTGTAGAATACTGAGATTGAAGAGTTCTATTGAAAAACTTATGAAATCAATAAATTGCAGCTTATTAGGCTTTTTTATTGTCTTAGAAAGGAATAAACCTGTCAGCTGCGATCAACAGTAAACTATGATCGATACCATATATTCATTCAGATCCGTGTAAACTTAAGAATCAATTGGTTCTAACATAACTAGCTGAGAGAACATGACAAGAGTACACTCACCTGAAGTAACTTCTGTCTTCTGATGTATGCGTGTTCGAAATTGTTCACGTTGTTTCGCATATATAAATATATAT